GGTCGCTCTGATGGTATTGTTCGCTTGCGGACTAAAACCACGAAGTTTGTTTTTTTTGTTATTTACAGCACTTCAGTCAAGATATTTCTTCTGCTTTCTCAAAACTAACTTTATGCAGGTTATAAATATTTCGGCTTACGCCCCTCATATCCACTTTCTATATTCATGGGGTTGTGTCATATTTGCGAACCTAATAGCCACCTAGATAGTAAAGAAATTCTTTGCTCTTTATGGAAGCCTAAGATTCATTACCGCTATCACAAGAAACCCTATTTTGAAGTTGCTATTCTACGTGTAAGGGTCACTTTCCAAGACTGTGGCGCATTTTGGCAAACCAGTCATTTAAATCTGTCCATACAGCCACATGACTGATGAACGTTTAGTTACGACGCTCCACAAGCGCTCATGAAAAAGGAATCAGTTCTTTAAATACTGATTCATTTCTTTCCCCGAATAATCGGCTAAGAGGGACGATAAACCTTACTCTGTCTTTCACAGTTAGTTAAAATTGTAGAATATTAATAACGTGAAAGCAGTCAAGCGGAGTTGAGATGCACCGTTCCTCGTTAGAATGTAAGATGCGTGAAGCAGATCCCGGAAGAGTAGAACTCGTAGTAAAAATATGAGGGGGCAGAAACAAGATAACAGTGTAGGAGTCACTTTCCAGTAGGTGGAAGGCTTGGAATTTTGCCGAGCACTGGACGAAACTCGGAATAAACTTGGTATTAGCAACTCACTTTCTCCCCCACTGATAACTGAACGAACCTAATGTTTATTTAATTAATTGGGCTAACTCTCGTATATACATAGTCATGTAAAAACTTAATATTAAGCAATATGTATGTGTGTTTCACAAGAGAACTGCCATACATCGAGTGGTGATTCGGAAGTTAAAGTTTAGCGAAACCTTTAATACGACAATGATGCTGTTTCGAGCCGTTCAGAAGTTACGAATGTTTTAGACGCGAGCATGAAGTAATATAGTCTTGTATTAATCATATGAAACTACTGGTAAAATTTATGAGAACACACATTAAGCTAAGCACACGTATTTAAAATATACTCCCCGAGTTTCAATGCACTGCCTTGTTAGGTAGAAGAAAGATTTTGTTATCCGTTGAATAGTTTTGAATGTTGTCTCCTCTGTGATCTAGTGGTCAGAGTTCCTGTCTACAGATCCAGAGGTCCCTGATTCGATTCCCAGCTCTACCAGATTTTCTGAGAAATAGTGGGTCTGGAACGGGGTCCACTCAGCCTCGTGAGAATAATTGAGGAGCTGTTTCAAGGAAAGAGCGGCTTCCGTCTAGAAAACCGAGATTAAGGGCCGTGAGGATCCGTTGCTGGCACTAACTTCGCCGACAAGCGGCGGTCGTTCGGTCGGTATATTTCGTTTGCGGACTACAGGCCACGGAGTTTTTTTTTGTCTTAGGTAAGTAGCAATGGTCATACTTCAACGCAAGAACTCCACCCTAGTATTTGGGCCTATTTTGGTTTTGGGGACCATTTCTTTCACGAGAACCAGAAAAAAAAATCAAACAGAATGAGGACTGGTTATCTTGACGACCGAGACTGGACCAGCACGGTCAATCCACCATTTCATGTAATGATGATTCAAGAAAGCAGTAACTTCACCAAAATGTGGTCGCGTTCCATTATACTGAAAGGATGTCCTGAGCCATAGACACGTTCTCCACGAAAAGCAGAAATTGATTCGTCAGAAATGCAAACAATTAGGAACGGTTAGACGTTGTTCCAAAACGAATGGTCCAATCAGCATGTCTCCCATCAGCCCGCTTAACACTCACTGAGAATGCATGCTGGAAGCTGCTTTCAACGGCCCCTTTATCGATGGACTAATAGAGGGAATATCATGTACTGTTAATTTCATCGCCATCACCACAACCAATTCATGGACCTGACAAACTGCCTGTTTCGGACTCCAGTTTTATTACATTTCTTTCCACTAGTTAATTCCATCCCGAATGAATTCTTCATCTTTCGCTGAACAGTACGTGGTGAAGAATCCGGCAATATATCAAAGTCAAATTTGAATATGAAGACTCTAATGATCCTGTTGAAAGGTCTACACATTTTTCAAATGACAGGCATACATATCTTCATTATATATGGTTCCCTACCCCCGAGATGCAGATTGTCCAAATCTAACAGACGTATTTCGACAACTGGTCGTCAATTTACGTTATACAGAATCCAGAATGTACTCTTCAGCAACACTGGGTCATTGTATGTTCTTGGTTACAAGGAACATGCCACTGTTTACTATAACCTCCGTGTATATCGCTAAATGCTTGCTTGTTGGGGATTAAGCGATTTGGAAAACATCTACGACATTTGATTTGTTTCATTTTGGTCCGTCACACTAACAATATTACAAATGATAAAACAATTCCGTCCAGTGTGACTGTTGAAGCTTTTATTACATCACTTCTTAGTACCCTAACATGTTTCGGTCTCTATAGACCATCATCAGAGGGAACATCAATACTTTTAGAAACTACTATTACATCGGGTGTTTTGATTTTTAAAATACATAAATATACAATATTTGATGGCATCAAGGACAGTTGCTGTATTTGTAAGAAATTTGGATTTTGTAAAAGTGTATATTACAAATATTGTATATTTACGTATTTTAGAAATCAAAACACCCGATGTAATAGTAGTTTCTAAAAGTATTGATGTTCCTTCTAATGTTGGTCTATAGGGACCGAAACATGTTAGGGTACTAAGAAGTGATGTAATAAAAGCTTCAACAGTCACACTGGACGGAATTGTTGTTATCATTTGTAATCTACGATATTCGTTAACTGCAGACCTCTCTCCATCACAGACTGCATTAATATAATGTACATCAGGTTATTCAACGAGAGTGAACAGTTGATTCAGTGTGCAAAAACATGAACGAAGGGAATATAGTTTTGACTTTATTGCAACGTAGGGTCACGTTTGACTTTTAGCGGGTGTCTCAAGCAAAAAAATATATCAGGAGTGGCTAAAATGCAACTGATATCATTGGCAGTGTTGCCATCCATATAATTTTACAGAAGTTAACTGAAACCGTCACCCTTGTTGTCATCTAACGAATTTCATAGGCGTAAGCATTTGTCGTTTACATATCTTAAGGCATCTGTTTCAACTGAACAGTTGAAAATAGGACTAATATTGAACAAACTACTTGTAACAAAACCAAACAATAGCGAAACATACACACACAAAATACCAACGAAAAAGGAAATATGCGCACTCGATACCCAAACACTGCAGCAAAAATATATTTGGTTAGGCAATAATGAATAGCAGCCAGCCTATGTTAGATATCACCACCTTAACAGCTGAAACCAGGTTACCTTATGATAATCACTGATTTCAGAATGTCGGAATTTATAAAGCATAACCTTTCAGAATTGAAACCAATTATTTGATTAAGAAATGAGGTTACACAAAGACTAGAAGAGGTCTGGTACATGCGGTTTTGAAACAGTACCGCCACAACGAATAATTGTCAAAATGTAACGAACTGGTTTATTTTTAACGTAATGGGATTAGTGAGCTTATGAAACATATATAGTTATATCAGGTTCATGATTGTATATCGGTAAATTTTAACGATTTGCAAGTGAAACAAAAAGCACACTCGGAATCTTAGAAGGCTTGCGAATTTCTTTTCCGAGAAGAGCTGAGTTGTGTCTCCGTGAACAAGCAGGCCATTTTGAGCACCTCTTGTAAGAAAGAAAAATAAAGAGGTTATTAATAACCCTTCTTTTATGTTTTCTTCTTACATTAAAACCGCTGAACTCACAAAGCGTTACCACGGAAGTTGAACAGCTGTAATTTTTTAAGGAAGGTCCACAGGATGCATACTCACATGAACGTTTTTATAGTATATGTTCTGACAACTAGAAAACGCCCAGTAAAATATTACATACGATAATAAGCATTCTGTATACACCCACAAAGTTAAGGGCCGTCTCTATATACGTAATCGTAGAATTAGAAGGGTGGAGGTATATGGTTACTACAGAAATATAGAGAGATAAATCAGAACAAGCGATAAACATTTATGACTTCATAATTTAATTTAACGTATTGCCTGTTTCTAACTATAACGTGGAAATACAAAATTTCTTATAAAGGTTCACAGTACATCGGTGGCGGACCAGTTTTCTAAACCTCCTTACTGGTTTCTAATACAGCTGTGTTCGGAATTTTTTATCACATAAAATATAATACCGTTAGGTTCCTCCCATGCAAAGGTTAAGATACACAGACATCTTTGAATCTCAGAGTTCAAGAATTAGCGTCACAAGTTTGGAAAGATACGTGCCTCTTTAAATGATTTTACAGTGCTGAATTTCATTACCGTGCGTACGTCATGCAAAATGTTTATATTACTGACGAATGTCAGTTTCTCTGCCTGTGAGGCCTGTAACTTCTGTGACAGTGGTTCTCTCAGTTGCTGCTCGTCTACTTTATTGTAAGTAATTACTCCAGCAATATAGTTCAGTTCTGAGTATGAAGAGAAAGCGTGGATTTATGAGAATAGTACTCCCACTTACACATAAAACGTAAATAAATGGCATTTTTATAACATCAGAATTTAAAATCGTGGGGAGTAATGTATTATTACTTCAATTTCAAAGTACATATTTGCTAAAATTCCCTGATATGCCTCTACAGATACTTATAGGTAAATCTTCTCACCTTTCGCATTATGCAATGTATCTACTGAAAACTGGTTTCTTCATATAACACACTTAGTTTTATATATTTTCTGAATATTAACTTGTATGTCACATCGCGTCTTTATCTTGTGTCTAATTTTCTGCTGAAGTGTTTTAACACATTCCTTGAGAAACTACAGATGGTCATATTGCGCTAATTATGTTTGCATTCCATTCACAACTACTGAAAATGAACAAAATAACACCGTTTTCTCTTACAATGTAAATAAGCAAAAAGCTCACTGAAAATAAACTTACCCATATCTACTCCGTCTTGCCTCAACGAGGTTGACTCAGCGACTGAAGGAGAACCTGTCTCCAGGAAAGGAATTCTATTACTTTTTCCAGTTAGCATCATGGTTACCGTTACCTTGAGGGAGTGGTTTATGCCTACAAAGTCCAAGTTGGTAGTCCGAAACACATAAAATTGATCCTTAGCGTCATATTCTAACCAACAGCTACTACATCGTACTACATATCCATCTTGCAGATTAACACGAAATTTTGTAAATACTTTCTAAGCGGTACTTAAATGAGCTGTAAAGGTACTTCGTCCTTCCTTTGAAAATAACATCGTATTGTAAATCCAACGGCGTTATTCAGATGGGCATATTTGGCATGAAACTGAAAACAGACCATTAGCACAATTGCGTAATGTAGAACATATAGGGGTACCAGTACCTTTCACTTTTTGCCTAACTTTTAATGTTGAATTATTCCGCTTCACCCTGAAATTACTTTCAGTTCAGTCGTTAGGCCTATACACAGTATGATTAATCAGAAATGGTTGTCCAAAATGGGACTAAATGCAAATAGGGCAGCACAAACGAAAATGAACATGGAAATGTTGTGAGACGGAGGAACTGGAGGGAGAAAAGCTCGATTAATAGGGGAGCAATGGCGCGATTGTTTCAGGGCCCCGGGATCTTCCACAATAAAATTGATTTGTCCAAAATACTTTTTTTTTTCAGCCCCTGCGAGCTTGAGCATACGAACACTTAGAAGAGGTCCTCTAAAAATATAAAACAGGGCTTTAGACTACCTTAGTCCAGCAATGGGCGGGGGGGGGGTTCCGCGATCTCTAAGGGATTAAATGCTATCATTTGTCCGTCAACATTTTCGTGTCTGAACCAACTGCTGCGCCTTGGAACTTGCCATGTCTCCTTAACGTTTTCAGTTCCCATAACAGCTTGTCAGTTGAGTGTGGCTATACAGTAGCCTGACACATGAAGGACGGCGACATTAACTGCAGAATATTTAATGAGTGGTCAGGACAGCGACGGGCTATGGCCTGGACGGCCTGGGTTCGAAACTCGGCAGGAGCAAGATTTTTTTTTCACACAAAGTCCATACCGGCTCTGGGGCCCACCTAACCTCCTATCCAATGGGTATCAGGGGTGATTCTCCCCCTTCCTCCGGGTATAGTGGCCTGGCCATGAAGTTGACCACTCAACTGCATCTCGTGCTGAGGTCAAGAATGGTGGAGCGATACCTCCACTCCCCCATATGTTTTCATGGCACGGCACTTGATTATGCACTGGGGCAACTTTACTTTTTATAAGAATTTTTAATTACATTGCTTTAACTCTTCAACCTCCTTTGAGGTAAAATGCATTGGTGAAGATGACTGAAAATGACTAGGAGAAAAGGAATTCAGGAGGCTGTCTTGGCCTACTTGAAGGTACATATTATAGTTTTTTACAGTACTGTATGGCATTCTCTAGAGGACAAGGCTGTGGCAGCTCAGAGTTATACACTTTGGCCCTTGCAATGCTGGGACTGCTCCATGGAATATCTTTGGGAGGATATCAGGGCATCTCAAAACCCTGAACAAGGTCATGCAGTGGTACTATTAGCTACAAAGGACAAATTCATATGCAGTGTCCTGCAGAGCACATCTAGGTCCCCTAACCCGGAGCCCTGGCCTGATTCAGCAGGATAATGGCAGGGCACCGCTCAAGAATTGCACTAACTGCTCCACAATCACCATCATCTATCATCTAGGGTTGGTACAATAGGCCAGCAGTGGCTGCAGCATGAAGTGGACTCAGTCTCATCCCACTAAGAATAATAATAAATAATAATACTTAAATGCCTAAACTGATCATCATGCAACTTGGTAAGTATATAATTCCACCTGCAATGTTGCACTTCATAAATCCTTCCATCAGTAATACCAACATTACAGCCATTCAAAATGCTGAGGGGAAACCTCAATATTGCTTGAACAGCTTTACCAGTTTTCATGAAACACGGTAGGTATATCATGACACATGAAGCCAGCTCAATGGCATACTTCATAAACCGTTTTGATCAGTAATACCAACATTGAAGACTCTCAAATTTCTGAGAAAATAGCTTAGTATTGCTTAAATGCCTATATCAATCATCATGAGACTTGGTACGCATATCATACCACCTCAGCCCATTTCAATGGCATACATCACAAATCCTTCTCTTCAGTAGTACCAAAATTATAGTCTGTGAAATTGTTGAGGTAATACCTTTAATATCATTTGAATTCCTGAACTGATTTTCATGAAACTTTGTATGTGTCATGTCATCAGGGGCCATCTCAACAATGCACTTTATAAATCATTCAAATTAATAATATGAAGCCTCCAAAACTGTATTTTTTTACTGACTTCAATACACATATATACCATAGTTTTATTTCTATTTTTCATATCTCTGTGGTTTTAGTCCGCAAGTGAACTATACTGACCAAGCAACCGCCACTTGTTGGCAAAGTAAGTGCCAGCTTTAACGGATAGAGGGTGTCATGCGGTCAGTGCAACAAGTCCCCACGGCCATTAACTTCGGTTTTCTAGACTGGAGCAGCTATTTCCTTCAAATAACCAATTATCCTCATGAGGTTGAGTGGACCACATTCCAGACCCACTACTTCTCAGAAAATCTGGTAGCACTGGGAATTGAACCCGGGACCTCTGGCCACTAGACCACAGAGGTGGTCCTACTTCTCATATCAGATACTAAAATTGCAGTGAAAGGAGTGCAGATGATCAGTTCTTCCCAGAACATCTTGTTAGTCTTGTAATAATAATTTCAACAATATAACAGTCATGCACAAGACTTTGATACACTTTTTAGAACTGCTGATTATATAAATTTTCTGTTCATTCACTCTTTCTAGTGATCACATAGTACAAACAAATAACTGTAAATATTGTGATAACAAATTATATTCTGTATGAAATCCATACAGAAGTTCCATACTGCAATTTCCTGTAATTTCAGAATACTGTAATATGTTAGTGACCAGACACAGGATTTGGATTGGTAATTGGATTTATTGAACATTCATAATTGGTTACAGTCTTCACTAGGTGTCTCTAGGTTATGCTGCTAACAGAGATGGTTCTTCTGCTCACATCCTCCATGGATGACGGCTGGCTTGCAACTCACAGCATCCAAGCCATGAGTGACTACTCACTGGATTGTCTAGTTGTCCTCATTACATAATCTCAGCACAGGCTGCACAGAGTAAATTGCCTTCAATGGCTCTTCTGCTGTTGCATGCGTATCCGTTGCCACACTCACATGTTTATCGAGCTGTTAGCAAGCAATGGTTGTGCTAAAAATTTCACATTTACTTTGATTTTACAAGACAGTTACACAGCACATCAACCATCATCTACAGGGTGAATCGTATAGAACCGGCCCGATGAATTTCCTAATAATTCCGCAGGTGATGCATATAACTGCTTACAATTACGACATAATAATCCGTGGGCTGTGCTGAGTCGAATGGTGTGCGCATGATCCAGCATGTCACAGCCCTTATGCTGCAAGGTCAAGGACAATCCCGAATCGTGTCTGCAGTGCGCAGGCGACAGTCAAGGAGTACACTGTTGAACAGCGAGTGTTTCTGATGCCTACTTGAAAATGGTGGACACTTTCAACACCTGCTCTGATCATGGCACACAATCCAAGATAAGATATGTGTAAATTACTTTAGTATCTGTATGGTATATTTTATATTATACCTCATTTCGTCGGGCTGGTTCCATATGACTCACCCTGTATATGACTGCATAATGGTGAAAGCTGTGCAAAATAACTGATCAAGTTAGGGTCTTTAATATTAATACAGCATTACGAAATTGCAAATGTCAGTCTGGCACTTGGTGATTTAAGGCTGTTCATCACTGATGTGAAAGGAACAATAAATTATGTCATACAACTGTAAAATTTCAAAGAATACTCTGCTCTATTTTACAGTAAAATTGTCTTATAAGCATTTTAACATTGGTAGTATTATTTACACTTTAAGGTTCCTTCTGATCACACGATTTGGATTACAATGTACCAATATGCTAATTATGTAAGTAAATACACTATCTGCAATATTCACACTACCCACAATAAGAATAACCTTACATTCCATTTCTTCTGGAACCCACATTTTTGTGTCCATGAAATAAAATAAGATGAAACACTGCATCAACATTCACCAGTGAAGCATGTATTTCTTGGGCCATAATACCGATACATTACGCAACATTATGGTCAATGAAATGTATTGTAACGTGTCTGGAATCCAGAAGAGTCACTTCTATGGAAACGCTAGAACAGACCGTTGCATAGGAAGTAACAATAGCGGCACTGTAATCCCAATAGTGAGCCGTTGTGTAGAGAACATCGAATCTCCACGGTTACGACAAATACGCGAAGCGTACCCACAGAGACAAAGCAATAACAATGGGTCATTGCATAGGGAACGCGGAACTGACAGAGCAACGTTTCCACTGCTATAACAGAGGATTCATTTGCCTAGCAGCGGCCAAGGTTATAAAAGCCCAGTTTCGAAGAGAAGTCTTCAGTCTCGGAATAGCCAGCTAAGAAGAAAGTCTTGGGATATCCGTGTAAGAGGACAGTCCTAGAATAACTGCCAGAGAAGAGAGTCCAGTGTCTCACCGAGATATTGTGAGCAGTAATTGTATCACTGCAAGTGTAAATGATTGTAAAGTGTGTGTAAGGTGAGCGAACAGAATAAACTCGCTATATCAGAAGACGGCGTGAACTTATTTGTCGCGTTATACACCCAATATGTGACAGTATCATTTAAAACAAACCTGAGGTTTTAAAGGGCCAACAGAGTGAAAACTACAATTTTAAGTCTTGCAATTGATGTTATTGGTGATTAACTAATATTAATAACAGGATGAAATGTTATGTATACCTTAACCACATACTCATACAAAACAGTGAACAGTGGGAAGAATTTCAGTTATGCTAGTTCACTGATTTAATGAATTTAAAGCTGAAATTATAATATAAGAAAATTCCAGATTTTTCTTATATACCACATGAAAATCTGTTAGTCTTCCCATTCATCATCCTCTTCTTCATCATCATCATCACTACTGCCACTGGTGTCTGAGTGAATGGCCCGTGAACGCTCGGCAAGGGCTCTTGCTAATGCCCCTGCAAGGCTGTCCTGAGGAGCAGTATTCACAGGTGGTCTCTGTGTTGTCTGAACCTAGCAAGAGAAAACAAGTCACAATGAAACAGTCCACCTACATTTTTCTAACTATTACAGCATCTGATTTACAATTTGAAAGTATTCAGCTTGAATCTTAGGCGGGTGAGAAGGTACTGTGACGAGACATTTTTGTGCCTTTGACAGTACTTCAAGCAGATACTTGGAGAGACCTCAAAATAGGTCATTTACATTCACATCTTTCCCTACTCTAACTTCTCATTTATGATCACCCTATCATATTTAATCCAATTCTAAGCAACTTTTGCAGCTACATCGGTGTCATTAAATAAAGTAACTTGTTATGAACATTAAATGATCCCATATGCAGAGTAGGGGCATGCAGTAGCTTAGCTAGTTGGGGCACTATGCTACAAGCTGGAAGGTTGTAGCTGGTGAGGTCATTGCATTTTTTCAATTGACCTAAGCCTTCCAGACACATTATGGCCCTGGGGTCAACTCAGCCTCTAAAAGAAATGAGTACCAGGAATCTTCCTCTGGATTAAAGGGTGACCAACGCGTAAGGCTGACAACCTTACTGCTGTGAGCTGATTGTCTAGAAAATGTGGCAGACTTGACATCTCACAACGCTATGGACCTTCACAGCCTGTTGCAGGCATAGCTTTACCTTTTTACCTTTTTTTACCACTAAGTAAAGTCATTCTTAAGCGAATGGTCACTCAGCTGGTCAAGAAATTCCATCTTATAAGGAACAAAGAAGGTTATTTAGCACGTTCACAAGAGCCAGCCACTGGTCCTACTGTAAGCCAGATGAATCCAGTCCACAATGTCATACAATATTTCTCTAAGATCAATTACAATATTATCCTTCTGTGGGAACATTCCACATTATCACGCATTTTCTTCAACGCACACTCTTCACATCACTTTTCACCATCACGCGTGCTAACCAATCAAATTGGTCCAAACGTTCGCATTTACGGTGCGCTCGCTGCTAGCCCCGCATCTACATCATCACGCACGCTAGCCAATCAACGCCCTTAAAATTCTTCCTCCTCAATTTCAAGTTTTGCTCCGCCCACCGAGCAGTGCATAAAAAGGAGCAGCCACAAACTGGCAGCATCAGTCTGACTTCAGTCTACGATCAAGCCACACTCAAGCAACATCAGCCAGCAAGCTTCGTCGCCAGCGCTTTGTCTTCGGAGGCATCGGCAGGCTGCACCAGCCACGACTGCCTCGGCCCTCTGGCTCTCATACCCGACTCACTGGGGCACCTCGCCTGGACTCGCCGGTGGTCGTGTCCCTGTCCGACCCACTGGACATCTGGCGTAGCCACTCCTCATCACTCCTACGACCGCAATGCGCGACCACACAACTTCAACTCACTTGCCGCACGGCGATCAAGCAACCCCCAGCAACGGCCGTGCTGTGGCCAGTCAAATCACCGCAACTAACTTCTCTCCCTACCGGCGCGCACCGCGCTACCTCATCGGTCAAGCATCTCAGCAACCATGGTCCTTTTCAGGACCAACAAACGGTTCCGAAGAAGTGGGTTGTCATTGAAGTAACGACAAGACAGACAAAAACCCCACACTTCTATATGCTTCCAAATCTCTCAGTAACTTTCAACACACATTCAACAATGATGGTGTTTCTGCATGACAGCCATCTTAGTACTGTCGATGACAGGAAGTTTAGTACAAAGATGAGATGGGATCAAAGAGTCTCCTGTATATCTGAGTTCGATAAGAAAATTGGTCCGCCTATAACATCATCTCTAAAAATCATTTTTCTGAAATATTAACAAAGGTGGAATGGTAATGTCCGAATAATATAATAATTCAAACCCATCCAATTACATGTAACTTGCATTCCTCTTTCTATTTCTTCTTCATAAATGTGAGTCTGTACAAATCTGTGAATTCAAAATTAAATTCAAAACCAGCTACACATCAAATATAATTCCAGAGCATTACCACAGCACCATCACCACCTTAGTATAAGCCCCACTATCCACACATCCTCAATGTCCTTCCACACACATCTACACATATTGCTCTCATTATTAATAACAGGATATCTTTCAGTGATATCAAATAAATAATTACATGCTAACTTCTTTTTTCTGAGATATTATAAAATTTCTACTCATAAAACAGTCATTAACTTACAGATTTTAGCTCAACTCCTTGACGAATCTGGTCTAACAATTCACCACGAGAATCATTGGCACCTGAGGGTCGCTTACTGTCGACCTCCACATGCTGTACATATAAAATCATACACATTAAGCTTTAAAATATTTTTCACTGTGCTCTTTCCAATCCTGAACTGGTAAGCATGATCAGTATGAAGAAATGAAAAGGGTGTAATTAACCTAAATGTAGTGTCAAACAATAACATTTATTTCCTTATTATATTCCAGTAGCTCTTGTATTGTTTAGCACATGACATTTCAGAGCATTCCCAACTGAAATGTAGTGGATGTCAAAATAAAAAATGTTCATGAAAAAATTTCAAATTTAAGCATCATGTGATGAGCTCAGAGCACCACCCGCCCTCCCAATTCTTCCCAAAGTTGTTAACCACATTAATGTGAGGAACTAGAAGAATTACCTAATCCAGTGATAAGAATTGTGGGAGGGCAGCATATCTTTCCTTCTCATCAGACATTATGGCTCTTAAAGGCTATTTATGCTGGCATATTGCCGATGACTTTCTTGTTTTACATGCTACTTCTAGGAATTCAGTAAACCTACGACCATTGTCCAGTCTAACATACTGCAGTATAGTTTAATTAAATATTCTCACTGTTCTGCATATAAAAACAAAGCAGTAAAACACTAAAAATGTAAATAGCTGGTGCTAACCTGGAACCTGAGGTATACATACAGCAGAAAAATGATTAACTGGGATAATGTGAGATGCTTGTATTATCACATGATGGAGTGACTACAGATGGGGTTTGGACTCCTTGGTACAGGGCGTGACTAATGTACATGCACACACGCACACACACACAAACACTAGTGTCCACAATGAAGTCTTCACTAGCTGTTGTTCGGTAGTGGCTTCCAACAGCAGGCATTCCCCTTCCTCTGAGTTCCTGAACTATCTACTAGCTCCCAGCTTCTCACAGCAACAGCTCACAATGACTGAACCTCAACAGTTCTCTCACTGACTAACTCAGTCACTCACCAACCAACTAACTCAACTAACTAACTGTCTTACTTATAACATCTCGGGACAGACTGCATAGAAAACACTGTTCCTCTGTTGCTGTTTACAGGTCGTTGCCTAGCAATGGGTCTACATGCCACAGTATGTTGTACATTTTGAGTAAATTTAGGAAGCCCTTCAAGTAAACCAAATATGATACAATTGTACAGGATTCTGAAGATCTGGAAAGATAAGGTCACTTGAAAACCCTAATGACCTCATCGGGAACCGAAACAGCAACCTTCTGGCTTGTAGCATATTGTGGTGTATAGATTTGTTGCTGGGCAACAACAACAGAATAAGCAAATATTCAACAGCCGTTACTCTGTAATGGCTTCCCAAACAACATGTTCCCATGGCAACAACTGAACTACAACAATGTGGAGCAATGTTTTCTATGCAGTCAGTGCTGAGGGCATATAAGAAGATTCCAGTATGGCTTGAGAGTTCTTTTTGATAAAGGTATATGTCTAGGAGTGAATAAAAATCTTGGTCATGGATCTCAAGGAGACTGAGGCCAGCAGTAACTTAAGTAACTGACTGACTTGAGAGTTCAGTCAATTAGAAGAGTAGGAGGTTGGTGTCAGATGGCTGTCGGCCTGGGAATGGGTCGTGAGACAGTCACTGGCCAATAATGGCATGAACACAGAAGCTGAGGAAGCTACGGCACTGGCAGCCATTACCAGGTGAAGATACAGCAGACCAAGAAGACTTAGTGCGTGATGTAGTGAACTGTAGTGTGTGAATTAGCGAAAGCGCTATAGTTACTTGTATTTACGTTCTGTAAGTTTTCAATAAAATGAATTACCAATCCAAACCCCATATATAGTCAATCATACACGTGACAATATACTGCACACGAAAGTTAAGCACAAAACAACACGAACCGCTGTATAACTTTAGTTTTGGTGTTTAGGCACTTAAAGTAAAATGTCATGAGGCAGTCATTCATTTACCTTCAGTGTCTTGCCACTGCGAATTGACTCTAGAAGTGCTGACCTAGGATCATTCGCTCCTGATGCTGAAATCCCATTGGAATCTGTTGGTGGCATGGACACAGGAGGTGGTGGAGGCGGAGGAGCACATGCTGCAAATGAAACAGGTGGGGGTGGTGGAGGAGCTGGTGCTCCTGAAAAACATACAAGTGATAACAAGAATGGTAACACCGCGCATAGTTTAACAAGCGTACAATAAAACTAAGCAACAAGGGTTTCGCCATCACCATCATCGTCATAATTATCATTGGAAACACAGTCCTTTTGGAGCCACAGCCCTCCTTAGAAAGTTCTGCCAGATCTGATCTGGTTTTCACTTTTTTGGATTTTGTTACATTATTTTTTTTTTACAGAGCAAGGTCATCAGCCTTGCATCCAACCCAAACCTGCAGGACCAGGTCAGTGTATTTATGTTCCCCAGTAACAAATTGGCGGTTATATCTCCAGGCATGGGGTTTCTTTTCTGTCACCTTCTATGACTCACAAGGCTTCAGTGGACATATTCAAACCCACCTCCACAGAAGGAAATATGGGTCTCAGAACACACTGAACTATCCACGAAAATATCAAGTTCAAAAAGATGGTCTTGTTTAATGACACAGGCTTTGAAAAGTGTGCTTAGTTATTTACAGAGATATTTTTTACAAAAGAAATATCCACGCCAATCTATTATGTTGTTATAAATTCTAAATGTTACTTCATCAATGTGTGTTCTCTAGTATCTATCTTCAGGATGTTACAAATAGGACAAATCCAAAAACTGCTAATTACTAATTTGTACCCGTATACTTAGATACAACGGCTTAATTTACAAATTTCTCTAACTAACTTCAGCAGTTCTACTTTATCGGATTCCTGATATAACAAGCAAACTTTGGAATTAGGTATAACTGCATTTTACTGTATATACAGTAAACTCCTGGTTACCTGGTATCTAAGCATCCAGCAAGAAATTCAAGGAGTATTCATGATTTTTATGCAGTTAAAAACAAAGTTGTGGCACTAATGTCTACAGTACTTCTTCCACTAGCAGTGCTACCTGCACTCACCATCTGACAACTATTACAGCACAGGCTAGTGGTCACACTTCAATGTAACTGAAATCTTTCATCCATAGATCCACTGTCGGCTAGGAACACTGTCATGCAAGACCTAAAGTGAACACTTTTCTTTTAACATCCGTTTTGGTTTCTATAAGAGTATTCTCATGCAACTGGCTGATTAATTTAACAAGCACATCTCACTCTTGATTCATGCTAGATAATTAGAAGTGTAAATTCTACTTATGGTATTGTGTATTATAGAACTATTCCAGTCATAGTTAAGATATGTTACTGCTTTCTTTTTTAATTCTGAACATAGCTCCTGGTTTCAAAAAGAAAGATTCAAAATCTACAATACATTACCAAATTATGGACAGAGCTGTTTCACGTAATATAAAGCTTAAGAATAAGGTGTACACACTTGTGGTACAAAACCGGAACCAACCTTGTGGTGGTGAGATGTCTTGTCTCTGGAGAGGAGTTCTTGTTGGCGGTAAAGGAGGTGGTGGAGGTGGTGGAGGTCCAGTGGCTACTGGGGGTTGTGATGGAGGTGGCGGCGGAGGATGAGCATTTGTCCGAGATGGCGGTGGTGGTGGAGCAATTCTTGTCTGATACTGGAAATTACTGACTGGGGCAGATCGCGCAGGCACTGGAGGTGGTCCCACTGGTGGTTGTGGAGTCTGAGGGTAAACAACCTCATCTTTCACAGCATCAATTCCACCATGGCGATTGATGAAGTCATAGATGAACTCACGTGTCTCACGATCTTGAAGCTGACTATCTGAAACTCCAGCCTAAAAAAATTGAGAGTTTCTATTAAGCACACGGTTGTCTCAACGCTCATCAATCTCATCCAATCATCAGAATACAGTGCAAACTGGAACACAGTAAGGGTGGCCATTTGACTAAATGTCAAAGCATGCCAGAATAACAGTATGTCTCCTATATAATAATCACTTATATCTTGTTGTAATTAATGGCACTTTTTACTAACTGAACGGATAACAAAGCATCAAATCTCAAGATGATTATGAAATGAGAAATAAAAGGACGAAACTGATTGCACACCACTTTAAGTAAATGTCCTAGTAATTGGAGTTACTGAGAAAAACATCAATACAGATTTTCATTCCCTAGACTAAGATTCAAAACTGGGATCTCATGACAATGAAGGACAGTCCATCATCTGGTATTCTAAAGAATGCAATATTTTGGAAACTGCATCTGTTTCCATCTTTAGGTGAAAGCACCTACACTGTTGGCTAGGTGCCCAGAATGTAACATACATACATGAGTTAGTGTGACATCACACGTTGCAGTTATGTAGAAATAACGGTAGGAATTTTGCTTGTAAATGAGAGAGAACCCAAAGAATTGGTTGGTGTGAGTACAAAAAGCTATGTATGCTTGATGAGAAAATCTTTATCTTCCTGGTTAAGATAATGCTAAAGACATAAATCCTGAATTATTCTTCATTAATTTCATATGTGAATGGAAGACAATTCAGAAAAGAACAAATATTACCATAGAGGGCATATGTTAGCATAGTTTGTTGAGGCACTATGCTACTAGCCAGAAGGTCGTAGGTTCGAGTCCTGATGAGGTAATTTTTTTTTCAATTGACATAATCCTTCCAGCCACACCATGGCCCTGGGGTCGACTCAGCCTCTAACAGAAATGAGTACCAGGAATCTTCCTAGGGGGTAAAGGCGGCTGGTGCCTAAGGGTGACAACATGCCCGCCATCTAATCCTGGTGCCGAATTGTGATGTACATAATCAGAAGTCACAATACTACCTTGAAGATTATGTATTATAACCATTTTTGGACATAACAAGTATCCACTAGAATGAATAATGTTATGAATTTTATAGGTTCCCATTATATTTAAGTGCCACTGTACCTCATTGTTACAGATGTGTACCTTATCAAAGAATAACTTCAGCTGTGGATCCTCAACGTTATCCAGATCAAAGCCCTTGTTGGGGTCCCAACCAACGTGAGACACATGCCTGAAGTCCTTTGGTAGACCAATATCTGCTTTGGTAAGCCGACGCTTGGAATCCTTATCTTTCTTCTTGCCACCTGAAGCCAAGAACAAAACTGGATTTCCCATTTTTGAATAAATGGCTAGGTACCATGCAAAAACTTATTAAGAATGAAGAATGACATCTTCTGGGATATGACACTGTGTAGATCTTGTAGATCTTGTGTGAACTGACGTTTTGAAGGGACATATAACATCCACCTGCAAGGAACCAGAGTGAGCAGGTGTCTTAAGACTTAGCCACCTGCTCATATGTTCTTCTGAAATGTCAGTTCACAAAAGATATACATAGCACCATATATCATAAGACGGCATTTTTCATGGTCACCACTACGAAAACCTCAAATCCTAAGTATTATTAAAAATGGTTTCAAAATCGTATCCAATATCTGCTTTACCAGGTGGCCGCCTATGTTAGGTAGATTTCTTTTGGAGGGAAACAAAGCAAATCCGGAACAAATGCTTATTTTGTTATGAAAAGGAATGATTCTTCAATCTGGAAATGTTTTGTGAGGACTGAATGACATGTGCCGGAGAAAAGAAACATTTCAGTGGCTGTCATATTTTGTGCTGAACTAGCACACAAGCTTCAGCAGCAGCTGCCACAGCTGGCAGTGAATGTGTTCACAGGTATTAATAACTACGGTAGCAGAGGGAAAGGTGCCTTAAAAAAAAAAAACGATGTACCAAACTTAGCGAATACAGATAGGTGGAGTAGATAAAATTATACAACTAAATTTTTCTATAACAATAAAATATTACGGTGACCTGCAAATTAGTTTCTGTTGTACTAAATTATAAAACCAAGTACAGAGTGCCCAGTTACAAAATCATAACTTTGGGAAATCCAAAAGCTCAAAAATCATGATGCTGATTAATAGCAATTTCTCTCTCCAGCCCACTATGAAAACCAATTTACTTGTAGTAGTGCGGTGCTGTTGCCTTGGCGATGGAACCAATGAGCCATTTGCTAGGTGACTGGTACTGCCCATATGATTTCCAGTCAGATTTCCTCCGGGTCCCGGCTGGTATCCTGCTGGCGCACAGTTGCGAGATGCCTGCCAGGATGATCTTGATCGCCGTTCTATGCATCAGAATACAGTAAGTGTCTGAGAAGCACTTTAGCTGTGAGGCAATGTTATAAAACTGTGGTTGTCTACAAAATATTATCCCAGAAGGACCAACTAAAGCAATGGCCTTATTATTATTATTATTGGAAGGGGTGGGTTTCCCCATACACTGCGACCAGTGGTCTATTGTACGTCCCCCTGTGATATTCTACCAGTCTCTATACCCTACCGATACTGGTGCGTGCCATCAGTCCCGACTCAGCCAGCGAGTTCAGCCTCTACTGGCTCAGTGGTATCTCTCGATGCTTCCCCCATCTATCAGAGGCGTTAGAGACTACTGTTGGGCGGGAAATGTCCTTGAATTTGGCTGTCACCTCCTTTGGAGATATGAGGTTCTTTTACGTGCCGTAAAGCTACGACACGGGACCCACAGCTTAAAGTCCCTCCCGGAGGACTTGTTCCCTGAATTTTTCCTCCCTTAAAAATTCCATAACCTCCGCCGGGTTTGAACCCGTATACCTTGAGTCATGAGGTGGGAACGTTACCCCTAGACTATGGAGGCTGCTAAGCAATGGCCTTAGTTTGAATAACAAGCACAAAGACTTCACATGTTACAGAGAGGTGTTAATTCACTGATAAAGATGCCAGGAAACACTGTGTGTGTGTGTGTGTGGGGCACAAGCTCAGACAAGGAGCCTAAGCCTTTCTCTCCACTTCCAGATAATACTTCCTCAAAGACAATATTACAGTTAATATGTGACACAGGTACATAGGTACACAGCTATTTTCTAAATAATTTAAGAGTACTGGAACTATGATATCCTTTCATGCGTTAAATTTTCAGGACTTGTTACACATTTCCACATTTAAATTAAATGCATAAACAGGCATTATTTAGCAGGAAACACTATAAAAACTTAACACTTAGAATAGTCAACATCATTTTGAGTGTACATAGTTCAAATCCTGGTGACCACAACTGCTGACAGCAATTTCATGGATTTTTATTCCAGTATTTGTGTAATTTACAGTACAACAGCTTCCCCTTCCCCCCGATAATCATCTATCATTATCCTAGATCTTATTCAATGCTCCGTAACCAATGTGTAGGCTGCCCAACCATGATGAGGATGTGTCGTTAGCACCAACACACCGGTAGTTTACTGCGTGGTTGTAGAGGGGACAGTGCAGAGACTTCCCTACACACAAGACTGACACAACTCAGTCTACTTAAAACGAACTTTAGTACTAAGATGACACAACTTGCAGCACATAAACAATTTCTGCAACACTTTCTGAAATTCATCTTCTGAAACTGAAACAATTACATGTTATTTTATCCTGGAATGCTTCAGTGATGTGAGATTTCTTGTTGCTTGGTTTTCAATTAAGTAACTTACTCTAGGGACTGTGGTAACTGCTAGTCATAATCCTGAGGGCACTCAGCTGAAGAGGTGGTGCTTTGGACTGAGGTGACTGGCACGTGATGTACACTGTTTGGAAGCATTGTTTTTAAATTTTCCTGTTCTGCTGACCTCTGGTATACTTTTTTGTTCTTACTTACTGTTTGGTAAGATAAACACGGAAATAGAAATAACTGAGAGAAAGTAAGAGGAAAATTGTCAGGACCCACAGACAAGAGAGCTGGCCTAAAGATATCTACCATACACCTTTCAGATTCATGTTCAGTATATACTTACATGGCAATATTACTTCAAAAATTACAAAAAAGTGACCTCTACAAACAATATGCAAACTCACCAAGCCTGCGCTGTTTTTTTGCTTCCAACTTTTCGTTAAGAATTGTCTTCATACTCCTTGCATCATCTTCACTGGCAAAATTGAAGGCCACAATAGAGTCCTGAAAAAGGAAAACAGTATGTTTCAGATAAGCAATTTTACTAACTTCCAACTATCATGCAATGTTAAAGCTTTATTAAATAGTGTGTGTTGAAATTCTGCAAATAATAAATAACTTTATTCGGAGAAGCACGAAATTAAAACTTTCTGAAGTATTACAGTTGCATCCCCCCAAGGCGTCTCCACCTTGTTGTGGTGGTGGGGCTTGCGTGACTCTGTGATCTAGATAGCTATGCCAGCGGTAGTTTAACTACTGGTAGGGTCACCCATGCCAGAAACGTCAAAGGGTAGAGTCCAGACTAAGAGAGATATCCTGGTCCTCCAGGTTGGGGGTTGCGCATGAGGCTAACAACCTCATCCTGTAAAAAGAATTTTGTTCAGAAACCTAACAACCAGCCTCGGATAAGTGGAACATGTGGGAAACAGACTATGCAAAGGACAAGGTACAATGATATTGTGATGGCAACTTGGAATGTACCCAGGATGAGATGGCTAGACAATGTTGAGAACGACCTGAAGAAGATGAAGGTGAAAGGATGGAACGAGAAGATGAGGAATAGAGAGCAGTGGAGACTGGTTGTAGAGGAGGTCAAGGCTCACCCAGGGCTGTAGCGCCAAGTGGTTGGTAGGTGGGTATTACAGCTGCATAAGACTTAACTCCAAAAGAAACAGTACTCATGTTCAGAGCAATGGCATAGTAATCACAATTTCATTAACAACAGCTCAGATTCTGCAGATGGAAACCATACATATAAGTAAAGACATGGGTGTGATTCCATAACAAATATTTTCATTCTTTACCACCTGTTAAATTAAGCATAATAAAGGAATTATAAATGAGGCACATGTCCCGCTGCTACTGAAATGGTGTGATAAAGATACTAACTCACCTTCATTTGCAATCATGAATTTATCATTCTTCCGTCTGTAATTATAAATAACAATGGCTGCAGAATTCATGAATTATCAGTTTCAATACAATGCAAGATCAATGATCACAAACCTCTCCCTCAAAGGTGTGGAGCCACATCTTTGGACATTTGTAGTCCATACTGTTGTACACTTCATGTTCCCACACCATCTGACACCTGGTCAGGCAGTAGAGACGGAAGAAATAAGAGCGTCGTTGATTGTCCTTCACTAAACACAAGACACCTGCATCCAAACGCCTCCAGGCTGAGTGATCGGGTGGGTCAGTCACAAACAACTGCACAACTCCTGCTGCCAGAGACTGCAAATAGAATAAAACTAATGCTTATAACAACTAGGAACCTCAATAAATAAAGTTAAGTCATAACATATCGACTCTATACAAGAAAACTGCTGTTTTATGCCAAAACATGCATTACTGAACAATGACAGAGTGGCCAAAGATAGAAGAATCTGAAGGATCAAAGAAATTATGAAAGTAAACAGTGGGCTAAATATAGTATTCAAGAGAATATTACATCCTTGGTAATATATTATGAAAGTGCATCACCACTGGGCACAATGCCAAACCAATATTATTCACGTTCCCTCCTTAACAACACAGCAGAGCCACAAAGATATTCAACATACAGTTGTGAACAATGAAGCACAGACTTCAGTACAAAGATGTCAACTCCTTACCACATAAGAAGTTCTACATTATGAAACAGATGACAACGGATCATAACTAGAAGGGTTCTTTGGAACAGCATTTTCAATCCGAAATGGATATAAACTGGTTTCAAGGGAGTGGAGATGTAATTCCACAATTCTTAACTGTGGCACTAGACGAGATGAGTGGTCAGCTTCGAGCTCCAGTGGCTTTATTCCCCAGGGAAAAACCCCTGGGATCCATTACATTCCTGCTGGTCTAGATAGACACTGTGGAGTGGAGAAAAATCTCTTCCCCCTTCTAGGAATTAAACCCTAGCTCTCCAACCTGTAGTCCATCGCTATACCAACTTAGATGGGGCTCGGAGTCTTAACAACAAGAACTGTAATTCATATGCAACTGGCAATATACGAATGGGATGGAACAAAATCACATTGGCATGAATTGGAGAATGCTTTCAAACCCTTATACACTGGCTAGACAAAAATTTGACAGGTATTTGTGTCAAATACACAGAGTACTGACACTTCGCTTAAACATGTTAACTGGTTGATAAGGATCTGTAATTTCACTTCATATTAATATAATAATCTTAACAGTTTTACATGTAGGAGTATATCTCAAGTCTTCTTCCTCCATAGTCCTAACTAAACTACACATCTCACATGCAGTATATTACTTACCTGGCACCTATTCCCCAAAAGGCGATGTACTTGTTCATTCTCATCACATGTAAGTAGCATGGAGCCAGGATAGTCTGTTCCAGATTCTGACTTCATGTTTTATGATAAAAGTGGCTTCTGCAAGAAATTTCTTAAACTTAATAGTGAATAACTTTTTGTATTTACAACTAACAAAAATTCTGAAACATAAAATTCGGATCTATGTTTCAGCAATTAAGCAGTGTTACTGGCAAGATGGCATTTAGCCTCAGGAATATAAACATAAATATACTTCAATGAATAAATCATGGTAAGGAGTCGCAACATCTGCATTCTATATTGTCATATGTGCAGATATAAATAAAATCATGATTTTTAGCATTCACAACAGAGGTAGTCAGCAAAACTATCACATTCACTCAAAATACGATCTATTGAACCACCCTTCATTATCTGCAACATTAAATATAAACATTAGCTAATAAACACATTTTATTTTAATTCTCTCAAGTAATCCTATGGCTCAAGGTATTCTAGCCACCTCAATACCTGAGATTTAATTTACCTGTAATAACCATTAGTCTGGTGTACTGTTTCAAGCACTCACTGTACTCAAAGATTGCTCATGCAATTTACCCACACCCAGAGTTACATACAATGAATGGCACGTACTGAAACACACTACTTATATTTTATATTCAATATTTATTTCACAATGTATTCTACCTTCACTTTCCACTTTCTGCTGAGGCTGGTAATTCATAAGTACGGCATAACGTATACTTTCCAAAAACATTACATACTATTGGAATTAAATAAAATGCAATATTCAAATTATGCTATATAAATTGTACATTAATTTCGCCCCGTCATATAAAACAGCATTTTTAGCAAGGACGTTAATATACGTGACTCAACTTTCAAATCGACATCCACTCCCTCAATTAGTGCTTAACCACAAAACACATCATTTCGTACTAGAAAGCACTGATCGCACTGATTACGAATCGTTAAGATTGACAACTACGATGACTACGATGTTATCTATAACTAGGTGGACAGATGTAGCCGATGTCACGGGTCCTTGTACGGAAACATGTTCGACAAACGTCACACCATGACTCTACGTAGTGATCCGTGGTCGCAACTGACCGCCGTTGGCAACCCCATACTATTGGTATGACGGGTATGACCGGTATGACCGATCGGTATGTTGTCTCGGCTGACATCTGAGAACGCGTAGAAGTCATGTCACGTTAAGGGAGTAAGGAATTGAGGAATGTGATAATTAGTTTCATCGCATGTTTTAAATCTTGCAGTGGTACATCATGAACAATTTGATGATTTTGTGTGTTAACTATCATGCCCTGGCTGTTAAGGTAACAAGTTAGAAGGAACCAAACCTTGTCAGAACAAAACTTAAATTTGGGGTCATGAAGTCATTTACACTGCTTAAACAACATACATTGTCAAATTATTGCTTCAAAAACTGGCGGCAAAAGGCTGTGTACGAATTGTAACCTCAGTAACTTCGTACTAATGTAAGCTGTACTTCTTGCTAACTTGCAACAAAAAACCAAGAGACTTCTTCGAGTTTGTTTCTATGCAAGTACTGATACAGATGTCAATACGTCTTATTCGAGATTTCTTCTTTTCGAGCTTCATTCCCGAAGAATTTAATTTTATATTGTGAATCACTGCTTTACGTGACACTTTACTTTTTGTACAAAACTTGCTATGAAACTTATTCCATTAAGAATGCAGTACGAGGGTAAGATATATGAATAATTTCTGTTCATCACTATATTTCATTCATGAATATTATGTTCCACAACACTGCAAACTGTATCTGTGTATGATCTCAAAAACAACTAAGTGCTAAACAGATAGTAGTACTGTGGAGATAAGCCAGTAAATTTTGGGTGGCTTAACGGTTTGGCAGCCAGCAGTGAACAGGTATAGGTGAATCATTTCTGGCTGGTCAGTCAAAAGATGAATTGGATTCCTTCTTAGAAGGCTGTAGTTTAATTTTGAAATATTCTTGGAAATTCACATTACTCAATAAATTGAATGAAGCTGATAACAAATCCATTTTCTTCCTTTTGTTATTATCAGTTAGATAATTAACATATATATCACCACAAAGAACTACTTTAGTATTATTTCTAAAAAACAAATTAAGAATAGATTCTAATTTATGAGGGTGAGTCAAATGAAAACCTTAAATTTGTAATAAAAAATTTCTTGCCATTATCCTGTAAGTTGGTGAGTGTGCTATAAACAGCATGCAGAATGTGCAGAATGGCCTGTAGGTTGCAGCATAGTGCAAATGCACGAACGCCATCACAGCACCAATATAAGATGGCTGCCCCACTTGAGACTTGCACCAGGGAAGAACAGCATTCTGTTATTCGGTTTTTGTGTAGTGAAGGTGTGAAACCTATTGAAATTTATCAAAGAATGAAGTTTCAGTATGGTGATGCATGTTTGTCACAGCAGCAAGTGTACGAATTGAGTAGGAAGTTTGCAAATGGTGTGACTTCAGTGGAAGATGCTCCTCATCCGGGTAAGGCACATCGAGTTGTGACTCCGGAGAACACTGCAGCAGTTGAAGCCATAGTGAGGGAAAACCGCTGAGTGACACTGAATGAAATTGCAGCAAGTTTAAACATTAGTCATGGTTCAGCACACCACATTGTGCATGATGTGCTCCAGTTTCACAAAGTGTCTGCAAGATGGGTGCCACGGCAGCTGACTCCTGAATTGAGAGACTGACGTATTGATGCTTGTGAAGAACTTCTGCGGCGCTTTGAACGAGAAGGTGATGACTTCCTTGCAAGAATCGTTACTGGGGACGAAACCTGGGTTCACTTCCACCAACCGGAAATGAAGAGAGCGAGCAAGGAATGGCGCCATTCCTCATCTCCAAACCAAAGAAGTTTTGAACACAACCATCAGCAGGGAAGGTTATACTGACTCTCTTTTGGGACGAAGAAGGCGTCATCTTGGAGCACTACACGCCTAGAGGGACCACTGTCACCAGTGCATCATACTCAGATCTCCTAAAAATCATCTTCAGCCTGCAATCAAATCAAAGCGACGTGGATTGCTGTCCACAGGTATCCTTTTGCAACATGACAATACAAGGCCCCATACTGCCCGTACGACAGTTGCGACAATCAATGACCTGCATTTTGAGTCTTCCTCATCCGGCCTACTCGCCCTCACCAGACCTTGCCCCAAGTGATTTCCATATGTTTGGACCACTCCAAGAAGCAATGGGAGGAAAGACGTTCCGTTCTGATGAAGAAGTACGCCACGCGGTGCATGAGTGGTTGCGCAGACTACCAAAAGAATTTTTTTCTAAAGGAATTTATGCACTTTGTAAACACTGGAGGACTTACATTGAGCGTGGGGGAGATTATGTTGAAAAGTGATACAGCTTTGTACCACTTGTGCACAATAAATAATATGAAAAAAAATATTTAAGCTTTTCATTTGACTTGCCTATGTAGATTATGTTACTTTAGAACTTCTTGATTAATTTGTTTAATTTCTCACAGATAAACTGACCTATTAAAAGCATAATATACCTCACACAATTATCCACTGTGAAATATACTTGTGGAATGTCATTATCTGAAGAGACAACCACTTGTTGAATTGTTCTGTAAATATTTATTCTAGTTGCACAGTACACAGACACACTTCGGTTTGGAGAATTGCAGACTAATAGTATAGTACCAACAATATTACTGCTTGCAACACCCACACCACTCTTCTCTATAATCAGAGTCAGAGTTACTTTACTACTGACAGTTTACCGCCAATCAGTTAATCTTGTCATCAGTCCAAGTCCAAGTCACACCCTCATAAATAATACTGAGTCAGACAGCATAGAAAACACATCACTGCCTATATTGTTGTAGGCTTTGCCTAGCAACAGCTGTTTACTCGCTTTGCCTAGCAATGGCTGTTTACTCACCACTGCTAAGCAATGATATTTGCATTTTCACTGTAACATTTGCTTGAATGTGGGCATTCCCACATATTGATGGTTTGCATCACAAACTGGAATGATATCATATCTGCAAATATCCTAATGAGACCAGAATCTTGCAGGTAAAACTCATATAATTTATGGTCAATGCAAGGCTATACAGGACAGGGTTATAAGGAATTATAAAAGTTCCCTTATGAAAGAAAATATCAGGAATTAAGAAACTGAAGAATGTATGCATGGTGGGGGTTCCACATTAACTAAAGTACAGTAAAACTTGGTTATAGCAACATCGGTTTCTGCGACACCTTGTCTATTGTGTCAAATATTCAATGGTACGAACTAATTCCTCATAAAGCANAAGAGGAGCGTGGGTTTTATGCGAAAACAAGGGTGTGGGGTGGGACTGCGTGAATAGTGCAAGAGGACGCGGCAGGTTGTTAACTGCATTCCTTTCCTAGAATCTCGTCTAACAGGACCTCACATTGTCTACTTACCCTATAGTGTTCCTGCTTAAACCCAGAGAAGTGCAGTAGCGAAAACATGGCAATGAAAAGGAAAGTTTTAAGCATTGAAGAGAAAGTCAAAGTGATTCGTGAAATAGAAAATGGAAGGAAAAAAGCTGATGTATGCCGCGAATTTGGTTTGGTGAATTCTACAGTACAAACGATATGGAGAATCCATATTAATTCCACGTTAATGTTACGTTAGTCTGTACTTAACTACGTATTTCACTAAAAAATGTAACATTTTAACTCGGTTTTTGGTAGATTTTTACATGACTAACATAAGGCTACTGTGGAAGTGCCCATTTCGGTTACAATGACATTTGTTTATAACGACACTATTTTTAGGTCCCTTTGATGACGTTATAACCAAGTTCTACTGTAAATTGTATTAATATGTACAATAAGGTAACAAAAATGACAAGACAAATTATAAAATTACATGAATCCATACTTGAAATATTAATGATGATGTTAAGGAAAAAAATATTGTTAGGAATACTGGAATAGAGCAGTTATTATTGACCAAATAGTATAGTGATTTGTGAATAGAAAACAATACGTATATCCTTGTCTGATACAGCAATTCCATTAAATGGGAATGTTAAAAAAGTGCCATGAAGAAAGGTGTGAATCTGCCAAAAAATTAAAGATATTGGCAGGTTCAAAGAGGTGATAAGCCAATTGCAATATTGGCAACAACAACAACAAAAATAGCTGTAAACTACATACCTTTGGAAACTAGGCAGAAGAATTAAAAATTGGAGAAAATTCTTCCTGTCACATAACTCTTCTTTTTTTCTGCAAGGTACATGCAACATCACAAGACAGTTATAATCCTACTATTAATTGTAATGTATTCTTAGAAAAATAACAAATGCATGTATGTGTAAAGGCTGTATATAATGGTGAAATTAAAGACAACAAACATAATATTAGTAATGATGATAACAGCAATACCTGAATAATATTAAAATATCAATTTAGATTAAATAGGTACAATAAACACTGCAAAGTATCTGAATGTTTATATGACACATGAACTCTAAAATAATTAATAATATCGGGGCTCAAATCTCTGTAAATAGGCAGTAATTACTGTTATCAAAGGAACTACATGCATGCTGATGAGTCACCCAAACACAGACTGCAGATAACTAACATTAAATTATATTATGATCCTCATTCCAGAACCAATATTTGATCGCATATAAAATGAAAATCTGCCTTTGTTGAGGTAACAAGTAAAATGTTCTGGGAAATCAAGTACACTCAGTTTGTTTCAACTTTATTTCTTACATGAATTTATGAGGATATAAAAACAGTATCCTTTAAAACATTTTGAAAACATCAAAACATTTTATGTTCGATATAAATGTAATTCCTGCATGGCAATCAGAGTGAGCCAGCATGCAGGGATACTGATGCAATTTCTTCTTTGATGTCCATAAGCATGTTACTGTAGGGGAATAAGTAATTTTTATTTGAATTTTTTAATTTGTTAAACATTAAATGACAAAGGCTGCTTGTCTGACTTCACATATACAGTAGAAAGAAATAAAGAACAGACATTTGACAATGGGGTCCCTTATTACATAATCTTTAATCCTTCACCAATCAGTGGCAGAAAGCTGAGATAACTCTTCAAGTTTGGGACTAACCCATTAATGCCCTTTGCGCCATACATAAGGCAGTGATATATTATTTTTTAAGTCAGTTTTCAGGTTTTATGTAAGAATAGATTACTGTTTTAATTATTTGAGGTTAACTGAATATAAAATATATTTTACTTGTTATCAGTCTTGTTGATTAATAAATATTATTTTTAGTTGCTTGCAAAAATTACCAATGCACATTTCACTTTTGGGGAATATAATATTTCCTTCAAACCTCTCTCTCCACATATCTCCCATGTAATTTCCAATTTTTTCATTAGTACAAAATATGCAGGGCTAACTGATCTGGATGCATAGCATTATAAAATGAAAGAAAGTTTGTTATCTTAGATATTTGAATGTCAGGGAGTAGACTAGACTATAATGCACATATTTTCTTTCATTTTTTTTGGGGGGGGGGGGTAGTGATGCTCTGCCAATCTAATGGAGTCACCACACTTTTGCCCATTAAGAGGTGCACTAAATAATATTCAACAGTGAGACGTCATTATTACTGCAATTATAAAGGTTTGTGATAATGTTTTAGTACTAGCATGGGAGTACTGCCTTTGGATACTGTCCATTGTTGGAGTCAAAATTAATGTACACATTTTTAGAGGTTGAACTGTCTCTGGCTGAAGGTGAAGAAATCAATTTGACACAGAACAGCAACTAAGAAAGTCTTGTGAAAGAAACCAAAAAGCAACAGCAGCAGCAACAACAACAGTGATAACAAGAACAGGCTGCTGGAAAGACATTTTTGTTTCTATTTTTTGGAAAGCAATTCATAATCCTTTGAATGCTTAGTGTCTTTCAAACTACAATTGCATCTGAAAGTATTTCCAAATCTGCTACACTCAGACAGACAGGATTGTTTACCTGCAATTTCTTGAAACTCTTAAAGCACAGTGATTAATACTTGTATATGTACCACCTGTTAACATAAAATATTCAGCATCTAACTAGAGAATGGTGTAATTTGTTTCACACAATTCTTAGAATAATATATCATTATTTTCCCAGCCACCATAAACTGATTGGTCTTTGTACTGGAGGTGCAGTATGTTTTCCAAGAGATAGGAACTAAATTAAAAAATATATATATTTGGGTGAAATCAGTGCTTTAAAGGGTTATAAGTTGCTTTCTGTTGCATGTTTCATCACAAAGAGTTTCAATGGCATCACAACTTTTGTTAATACTGAGTGTCAGTGATTTAAATTAATGTCTTGAATTAAAAACTGGCTACCATCTCCACTTGGGTCATTTAAAAAGTCACATAATTAAGATTAAAGAACAATGAAATATTACTTTAATATGTGCATTTAATCACTGAAAAAATCTGTATTTGAAATGTATCAGAAAACGAATATTTCAGTTTTGCTTTTTCTTTTTAAATTAAATACCACGTTCTGCATTCTGATTTTTGGAAACACGGTGAAACACATTTGACCTTCTCCAATATATAATAGCAATTAAAAGTAGTCATATCATTTGTGATCTGCTCAGTAGTTTAGTTAAAGTCCAATGCTTTCTTATTAACAATATGTGCAAGTATTTCTAGAGAAATCTGGACTGCACACTGTACAGTTTGCTGCCTTATCTTCTTTGATCTTCCTTTATTTAACAAACAAAGAAATCTAAGTATCCAATATAAAACACAAATCAATGTAACTCATCAATTTATTGAATGGGCATGAAAACATTAACTCAGTTCCTTTGAAACTTTCTTATTCTTCTGGATGTTGCACAGTATCAGCTCTGCACATGCTAATGGATCTGAATTGCAGTACTTGTTCAGTTTTGGGATTCTTCCTCAGTTTTTGATAGCAGTCCATATAATCTCCCCTATTTTTCTAAGACAGGATGGAAAGCGAAATTATACCAAATAAAATATGTATTTAATCAACCAAGAAGTGATGTTGATTCTGTGGAAATTAACACAGCCTTCCGTACAGTTTTTGAAGATACAATATGCTGGCTACAGCAAATTAAACTTACCATCAATCACTGATATGGTATCATTATTTTGGTAGCCCTACATCAACACAAATATCACCACTGTTGCAATCATCAACACCATGTCACTGATGATCACCATTCTTGGTGTTGCGTTATTGTTGGACAGTCCTTGTTGATTTGGTTCGTCTACAGCATTACCACCATAATTACTGATAGCTGGGTACCAAGGTTCTGTGGGGTGTTGAGGATTTGATACTGCACCATTGGAAGTAACATGCCATGTATTGCCTCCAAAATCAGAATTGGATGTCTGCACGTTTGTTGAAGGTGTCCATGTAATGCCTCGTCCAAAACTTGATGGTCTGTTATTAGGAACCTGGCCCATTGTAGGATATGCTGGTGTTGGGAGAGCAGGCGGTATTGTGTCTGATGAAGTGTGAATGTTGCGACTGATGCTTGGATCTGATGACTGCCCAGGTAGCCATGATGGCTTACTGTGGCCATTGTTTGGTTGAATAGAGTCATATGGTGGAGTATTGCTGCTGATGCTGCTGGTATCTGTAATTGGTCATCATGGCACTCTGTGATTATATCATTACATAACTAATTAAAAAAACTTAATGGCCTGCAGTCTGCAAGCAAACTATACCAACTGAGAGACAGCTGCTTGTCAGTGAAATTAGCGCCAACTTTTGCGGATGGAGGGTGTCACATGGTCAGCGCAACGGATCCCCACCGCCATTAATCTTGGTTTTTCTATACCAGAGAAGCTATTTCCTTGAAATAGCTCCTCAGTTATCTTCATGAGGCTGAGTGAACCCTGTTCCAGATCCACAACTTCTCAGAAAATCTGGGAATCGAACCCGGGACCTCTGGACCTGTAGCCAGAAACTTTGATCACCAGACCACAGAAGCAGGCTAACGTAACTAATTATTGTTTTCAAATTGAAAGTTTTAGAAGTTACTTTCAAAATTAGAATGTCTGTAATATTTTTATACTTTTGTTATATTTGAATTTGAATTTTAAAAACTGTAAATTTTGTCAAAATACAAGAAACACAATGCAATAAATGTTTAAGGCACTTGGTAGACCAACATTATTTTTTGGTCATGAATCATGGACAAAAACAAGAACTCATGAGAGGAGACTGATATAAGCAGAAATATTCCTTTGTGGACAGGACTGCAGGATACATTCTTTGGGTTGAAAAGAAATTAAACTATGAGAGAATTACAAAAGCCCATAAATGACAAAATTTATACAAGACTACAGAAAGAACTGGAAAGAATACACTTACAGAATTCCGAAGAATATTTTAAAATGTCAACCAAAGGAAAAAAAAAAAAACAAAGTTTGGGAGGACATCTGACTTCATGAAAGGATTTCGTTTTGTAAACAGAATAAACAGAACACTGGATTACTCAAAGATGATGATGATGGTGATTCTATGATGTGTTGTTCATTCTTCACATACTGACACTTTTCTTTTTCCTAAATTGGCCAAAAATAACACATACTACCTTCACTAGGAGTCCAGTTGTCCTCAGAAGATGGCTTATGCACGGCTGAACCTCCATTTGGCATCCACGGAGCTGCACCCTCTGTTACTGGAGAATTTGTCCCTCTTCTGTCTGCCCCTATATTAAAGTTCTTATATTATAATGATAAAAATATGTCCAGTATGTTAGTGACTAAAGAAATTCTGTGCATTTCATGGTTCTGACTACCACAATACTAACTTCTAACTGAAGGATAAAAACCATATGTTTTTAATTAGAGAAATCCTTTTAAATGCTACTACACCTCTATAATATTATATATGCTGTCACCAGCAAAATATTCAGTATTATGAAAAGCTGATATGTTTTTAGGGGCATTTTGTCTTATGCTTGTAGCCCTTCTCATTGTCTTTATGCCTGTACAAAAATTGTTCATGCATGTGTTTGCAACATTCTTTTAAGCTTTTTTTTTCTTCCAATTATGCACTTTTATTTTCCGTAAGACTAAATACGCTCAAATCTTAGACTACTGAAATTATCTCAGTTCATTTGGCTCAGGTGTTGCAGTTACTTGAAAGGGATCTCAATTGGTCTACAAATTTATAACAGTTTTAATGAAGCCATGAAACATCTTTTTTCTTTGACCCTTCATAATACTGCAGGTCATATTCCTGAATAACACCAGGTTCAGTGAAAACCCAGTGAACAAATTTGAGAACCTAAGGGAAAAATTGGGTATGAGAGATTTGGAAAATAATGTATCGATATATATTTATTAACAAAGAAATTTTATAAACAACAGCTTAAATGTAAATGCAATTAAGTGGTAAGCTGGACACTCAGGCAAATTTTATCCAAAAGAAAAATGACCCCTGGTAGCTGAAAGAAGGTCAGAATTGTTCTATAGAATTTTCTCTTATCACAAAAAATAGCTACTACCCCTGGTTTAAAATGTGAATAAAAGAAACATGGTTAGAACTCAGAACAGAAATATAATTTTTAGACTTCACAAACCTGTTCCTTGTGGCTGCCATGAATGACTAGTAACTTCTGGTGAATGGGGCTGGTGGTTACTAGATCTGTGTTGTTGATCAGGCATATTATTTCTGTTACTGATGTTTTCATCATGTCCATTATAGGGATTTGTGAGAACTGATAATCCAGGACATTCTCCTGTTGTTGGGCTGAAATTGAGAATAGTAAGTTACTGACAATTTCAACCTTTTTGAAGAGCCTCTAATCATCAAACAAATTGTATTATTATAACCTGTATCAGGGATTCATTTTACTGGAGGAGGATAACGCAACAAATAATGCAAGAGTCTGTGCCATTCTGTTACATTCATCCAAATCTTGAGGTTTATAGGAATTCCTACACTTCTAGTCACTACCCAATAAAATGCATAAAATTAAAATATTTTCCAAGATATTTTCATTGCAGTATAAGTAGGAATATCTTACCATATAGGTGGATGGCATAATCCACTGAGCACAAGAAAGAGGCACAAATTCAATATAATTTTCATATGTAATAAAGTAGTACAAACAATTACTTGAAAATAAATAGAAACATTAGCTGTTACATAACACGTTCATATGAATAGTAAAGTAAAAAGTAAAGCTATCCCTGTAACAGGCTGTGAAGGCCCATAGGGTTGTGAGACGTTGAGGGTCCCACACTATCTAGACAATCGGTTCAAAGATGGTGGTAAGGCTGCCAACCTTACGCTCTGGCGGCGCTTTACTCCCCAGGAAAATTATTTAATTAATTCCTGGTACTCATTTATGTTAGAGGCTGAGTAAACCCCAGGGCCTAGTGCAGCTGGAAGGATTAGGTCAACTGAAAAAAATCCAATTACCTCATCGGGACTTGAACCCGCGACATTTCGGCTTTTAGCATATGAATAGTGCAATTTAATAATAATACTTTAATAATAAGAGCAAAGAATATACACTACTCAAGCTGAAATTATGTTATCTTGCATGTTGGAATTTATTCAAGTTAATTGTGCACTATCTAGTAGACAAGTCACTTGTAATGAATATCTGTAATTTCATGGAAGAGAGGCTTCTTAATAAGCTGAGGGTTGACTGACTAGTCAAGTAATTTCTTGCTTTTTAAGGAACCAAAAAAATTCTTACCATGTTCATAAGAACCTGCAATGGAATCTACTGAACCAGATAGCGCTAGTACATATCCTCATCCTGTATTTAATCATAATCCATTTTAATATTCTCTTCCTATTTATGGTCCTGTTAAGCACTTTCTTCTCTTCGGGTCTTCTTAATAAATGTCGTATTTCTCATTAACATATTTCAACGTGAATATGATTACACAGTTGTCCCTGTGCTTCATTAATCATCATGAAAGGAAGATGGATGGGAAAGTGGAGCTAGAGCTCCATGCATTCTTAACCTCAGCTCTAGATGAAAGTGAGTGGTCAGTTTCATGTGCTGGATGCTTTAATCCAAAAGAAACAGGCCCCAGAACCCACTAGATAGGAGACATTGTTTACTGCAGAGCTGGTAAGGATATTGCAGAGAAGAGAAAAATCCTTTGCCTTTGCTAGGAGTTGAATGTATTTTGGGACATACAGTGTAACTGTTATTGTGTGCATCTTTCATATCTATTTCTGGTAAGCTGGGAGTATTTAAAGGAAAGCAGGTATAATAGATTTTTCCACTGGAATGTCTTTAAAGCATGTATCCTATGTTATGATTTCGTTTCAAACATATTTTCTTCTTTCAACCTAACAACTATTCAAATTATGGATTCAGTATATGGTTAAAATTAACCAAGAAACCACACTAAATTAGGTTTGCTTTAATATATGTTCTCAGAAGTTTAGATTTATATAATATGCTTCTCACTACAGTTCATATGGACTGATGTACTCACATATAATTATAGCACTGATCACGAAGGAAGCTGAGAGCTTTATCTAGCATCTGTCTTGAGAAATGTGTGGCAGAACCTCCATTTGTTCCTGGGTCACATAGACGCTTTGTTTCCTCCAGTACGCACTCACGGAAGCGAAGGTGTGAGCTGTCAACAACAGAGAAACATGCATTTGTCACTTTAATTTTAAAGTGGATTGACCAGAATTAGGAACGTGAAAATGTCCTTAAACCTAGAGAACTGAACATTCTTTAGTGTACAATGTTCAGAAACCTGTAACAGATATTAGGGAAGATACAAAGACATTTATTTACATCCTATAATATTGTGTCACTCAATTTTTTTTTTTGTAGTTTTTGCATCATCAGAATAGATTTAATAAATTTTCAGTTCATTCTTTTATAACAGAAGTCATGTGATAAGTGGAAAGATATTCCATGTTGCTGTAGTGTAACTAATATAAGTGTATCTTCTTGTAGCAAACATATAAGAACTATGTGCAGAGTACTTTTTGGTTGATATAATAGCTGCAACCTTTTTCAGAGGCAGCTACTTAAATATATCATAACACATGGAACACACATAATAGAAAAAAAAAATCAGATCCAAATGTGATAACAAAACAGTAACTGAATCTAAACTTCAGAACTAACTGAATATGACACTTCAGTCTGACAGCAATGCTCTTTGTGACTTGATGAAACTAAGCAATGGTGATGATTTATGGGTAATGATATAGTCATATGCCACAATGATGCTGCAAACACTCTTGCATGTAACAAATGGCAGTGTGGCTCTACTATGTCCACCTTAAAATTCTAAATTTCTTACCATTTGAATGTCACTGATTTCCAGGAGGGGAAAAATTTGTCTCTTCATCACAGCATTCAGACTGGCTTCAGGGCTCACCAAACCTCTTATTCAATTGGAGCCAGGGGCTCTTTTTCCAGGAGTTCAGTGGCCAAGGCATGAAGCTTGCCATTTGCTTCCATCTAGTGCTGAGGTTAAGAATTTATAGACCTCCACTCATTTCAATAGCTTCATGGCATTGAGCTCAATGAAGCACGGGGAAAATGTTATTTTTTTTTTTACAATATTATTCTGTCCTTGAGTTACAAGTAGAATTTTTTGCTCTTTTAATTACATAAGCTAAGTGAAGCAATTTTGACTAATTTATACCACAAACTGAACCCATGCAACTTTAACTGAATTTTTTAAATGAAAGAGAACTAGTGAATAAGAATGTTCAACCCAAATCTGAATAAAATAAATGCAATACTTTTTCAAGTTCTAATATACAAATTATCTTCAAAATAAAGGCAAGAAAAAAAAGTAAAATTGCACTTGTGTTTAACTAATTTGGCATTATGCCATGAAGACATACTGAGGAGTGGATGTATAGACCCATGTTTTCTTGACTTCAGCAATAATTAGAGGTGAGTGGTCAGCATTATGCCCTGGCATCTTTACCCCAGGGGAAAGAGCCCCTGGTACACACTGGATAGGAGGCTGGGTGGACCCCAGAGCCGGTCTGTAGGACATGGAGAAGTGAAAGTTATTGCCCCCACTGGGACTCGAACTCTGACCCCTTGACCTTCCAGCCCATAGCACAGTCACTATACTGGCTGTGCTATCCTGGTTCTCAGTTTCCTTCCATATACTTTCCATAACTTTGACTATGTACCATATATATTCATATGTGTTCAGTACAGTTCCATTCTTGTGAAATTTAATATAATATAATGTAATGTAATGTGCATTACAATTTTCACAGTTTTACCATGTGAATGTAACATTCAGTCAGATTTGGTTATTTTGTTGCTGTTTGTCAATAATAAATCCCCCTACAACTTTCTACTCAAAATATTCTGTGGCACAGATGTGCATTTGTATCTGAAATTCTTTTCCTATGAAGTCGCAAAATAAATCCTTCAAAGCATTCAGAACATTGTCATCATTCAGTCTTTAAATTAAAGGCAAGTCTTAAGAAGACATCTCTGAATTTGTTGAAGTTGCAAACACATGACCCATATTTTTGGAATGGATTACATTTGCAAGACTTGTAATTAGAAGTTACCCCTATATTAACATTAAAATTTTTAATTTCCTTCCTTCAGCGATACTAACATGGGGCTCACATGAGGTTTCTCAAAGTGGGAGAAGTATTAGCACCATTCTACGTACTACACAGAAATTTGTTTTATGATATCTTTGAAAACATGTAATGTTTGAGATTACACACACAACAAAGTATCAGGCTTATGTTCTTCTGGGGCTTCATACCATTTAGTTTGGAAAATGAGTAACATTAATTAAGAGAAAACTACTACCTCCATTATTTTGGCAGAGACATATAGGCTCCTAGATGGGTGCAAATATTTCAGTAGAACTGGCCACCTTCATATTTGGGGCAGATAAGTAAGACTGTACTTTGTGGATGAAGGGAGTAGTTTCCCCAAAATGCTCATACCCATTTACTAAACTACATGACATAACACCCTAAAGACCATAATCTTGTATGTAAATCTTACAATAATTTTTGTCTTAAATACACGTATAAAAACCTCACGGGGACCTCACAAAACATAGTTCTGCTTTCCAATTTCGTGAGAGTGACTGACAGTCCCCAGTGAAGTTCAGAATTAAAAAAAAATGATATGATGTGTTATAGACATTATTCTCTTCTTACCAACAGAGACTGACCCGGTTGGCCTCACCAGACACTTGATCCACAAGATGTTGATAGTGCCTGCCACAATGTTCCTCTCTTGTCAGAGTTGATTTTATGCATGTTGCATGCTTCAGATATTCTGCAGAATAGAAACAATACATTCACCCCATAGTTATTTCATAATGTGCAGTAAAATATCACTAAATTACATAAAGATACATTTGCTAGATTACATTCAACACAAGAATGGAAATATGCATACCGAAAAGATTAGTCGTGTGTTCTTTTCACTGACAACAAATATTATAACATTTCTAAAATATCTTATTCTACTTTAATAATTTAAAACACAAAACATTTATTTTTGAAAATCTGTATCTTTACGCTGGAACACTTCTGGATTTGGCTCATACATAAGAAAGTAATGAAGAGTTGATTTAATAAAGTGACAGACCTCATTGTCTGAAATCATCCAAATATTCCACAATAATTCTCATCTCCATTATAGAATATCAATTTGATCAATGAATGGCTGTGCTACAGAGACCAGTTAATTGCCACCTCCACACATAGTGTCCTACTCAATGTTAAATTTGAACAAAACATAAAATGTTCTACATTTTATTTTTAAGTTTCTGTAGATGATAGGTAGTATGATGAAGTGAGGTGTGTATAAAAGAAGCAAGAAATAATGTGCTGTGTTAACAGTTTATATCAATACTGGCATGGCACGGCATGGCATTCAATTGGACTTAAGCTTAATTGTTAAATAGACACAGTACATATATGCTACTGCACAATATATAGTTGTATTAAGGGGACTATTAAATTCAGTCACAGGCAATAAATCACAGTTTCATTGAGTGCTTCCTGTTATGTTTATTATACAAAAATCTTTATTAGAATCCGTTGCAACACAACAACGAGGCCGTCAAGGTCAATATTACCTTAGCTACATGTTTCGGCTTTTAAAGCCATCATCAGGCAAATACGTAGTTATTACACTCACAAACTATTGAACTGCATTTCAATATGATGGTACAATAGTGCTGGATAATTGACAAATATGTTACGCTATAATAACACAAAGTATAAAAATACAAACAATTATTATAAAACGAAAGTTATACAATTAAAAATATGGTTAAAAACTACGTATGTAATGATTCATATTATGTTCATGTAATATTTCATATTATGAAGTCTGTTGTTTCAATCATATTATTATATTCCAGCGGACATATCATTCTTGCCTTGTACACGTATGAAATGGTTAACTGCTTGGAGGCCCATGGTATTTGTGCAGTGTTATTTAGTATTTATTGTTTGACAGGTGCCTGATTTTACATGTGGATGTCTGTTCTGATGGGAAGACAGACTGCAAATCACAGTTCCTTAAGCAGACAGTGTTTAGACAAGAAGATGTTACAAATCTTGGATCTCTGCTGTATAGTCTTGATTGGTAGGATTCAATAGCAGAGTAGTCCTGAATCCTCAGAAAACTGAGTGATATGTTGAAGGAAGTGGGATTCTATGTAGCTTCTAGCTGAATGTGGAAGATGTATGTAGCCATGTATCACTGTGAGACAACAGGATTAAACTACAAGTATGTGTGTGTGTGTGTGAGCTTACTGGTTGAACACCTATCCCCACCACCATGTAGTCATATTGATAACAGTCTTAAGTATTAAGTTTGGTCAGGTAACTGAATATAATCCTTTATAATGAAAAAGAAAACTTCTGTAAAAAAATTAACTATGTGAAAACCTGAATATCAAATTCTTCTCAAGTTGTAACCTAAAATCCAGGGTTTCATTAAAATTAACTATGATTGTTTGGAATTTTTCAGTTCTCACCTGTCTGGTATTTTGTAACAGTGCACATCTGATGAACAGAATCCACAGGACTCTCAACAGCTTTGTTGAATTCCCGCCTCCGAGTCTCAGTAAAGCAGCGATCTGTGTACCTCTTCACACAGTCCACAAATTGACTCCATCGTCTGGAAAATATGGAAATACCAATTTTCAAAATTGTATTGTTCCCTTGATATTATAATAAAAAAGCAAAATGGGCAATAGTTATATAAAGGTAATAGAATAATGATCCACTAACTGCGTGCAGAAAGGCATTTCATTTTAACTGACTTATTCTCTCCTTGTTTAATGACGTTTTAACTGTAACTGTTGCATCAAAGCAGATCAGAGATAAGATATCAAACAGATTTGTACAGAGATAACTTGCATTCAGGATGTGTTCAGTTAGAATCTTTGTATGGTTGTGAAATTTGGTCTCTTCCACTTAGGCTAAATATAGATTGAGGGATTCCCATCATCAGATGGGAATATTTGAACCCAAGAAGAATAAAGTAGCAGGAGGTTGGAGAAACTTATGTAGTAAGGACATTCATAATATGTATCTTATAGATGGAGAAGATAAAAGAAATGGGTATAACATGATCATAGCCTAAATTCTCCATTTTTCAAGGGATGAGACTTATGGATTGGAGGACACTAATAAAAACTAGATTTAAATGAAAATGGTGCAAGTGGGTGGATTCGATTTAACTGGTTTTTATGAATGTGATAATAAACTTTGGGTTTCATAAATGACAGAATTTTTTGGTTTGATAAGTGACTAACAGCTACTGAAGATGGATTCTTCTCTATGGAATTTGTTATAATAATGCACTACACAGGTATGAAAAAACTGATCTTTCTTACATCACTATCAAATAGATGGAGTATGGAAGTTACCCTGTGTTGTACTGAGGAGATTAATTTTCATGGAATAAATGTAAATTAATGGAATAAGCATTCTAGAATGTTTAAGTTTCCAAAACCTCAAGCCTTATCATTGAAGGACTGGCCGGATATTTAAAATTTTATTCTGTTTTGATTACGTGCACAATCTCTCTAAAATTTAGTTCTGTTTCTCACAATTTCATTCAAATCCAAATTTCATACTTAAGAATCCTACAAGAAATATTGACGTTGATGACAATGAATAAATGTAAAATGAGGAGAGATATTTCAGAGTATGTGTTATAGTGAAACAAGTACTTTCATATATTTTTAGTTAAATATTTACCTGCAAACAAGGTCAATGTCAGCCCTGTTGTCTGGAAAAATAAGGTGTGGATCCTTCAGTAATGGATCAGCCATTTTTACACAAAGATCGTAATCTTGTCTGGAACACTGTTGTCTATCCAGCTGTGAATATGCAGTCCCTACAATTAAAGAAGCAGATTTCATAAGACAGAATATAGAACTCTAAAACATCTTCTTTGAGGCATGTTTTGTGGCCTTGGAATCCTATTTAAATGCCTTGTAAGATAGAGGTTTAGCCTATCATTGTACTCATAAGTCAGGCTTGATATTAGTAACAATGTGCTATAAAAACAATGTTCTGGAGTGCCAGGATGTCTTGGATAACACTTCTGGGGCTAAATATCATATATGGACCATTTCATGTGTTTCCACATTCCCTTCACACAATAAGACTTTATCATAACTGTTTCATCTTACCAACTTCCCAATACACCATTCACACAACTTCTTCTGTTTCATATTCATCACTAAATAATTTCTGCATTTAACAATGTACAACTAAATGTCCTATGAAATAAAGAAAAATTAGATAAATGAAGAGATGTCAAAGAGTCAGTGTGACAGAGATCCTACTTTTATGAATCTGTAGTTCTAATTTTCTTGAAATGTGATACAAGTACATTCCAATAACAGAATCTCCTTGCTTAATCAAAATGAGGAGTTATGAAAAGTTAATATAATTTAATACCATCATAATATGCAGATGACACTAGTATAATATTTAAGAACTCTAAATTTGAAAACTTTAAAAATGACATAAATATTATATTTGAAGCCTTAAACAGATAGTTCAAAGCCAATTTACTCTCATTAAATTTTGATAAAACCCATTACATATCATTCACAACTAAAAACAACCACCAAATTGATCTGGACATCAGTTATGCCAACAAATTAATCTGTAAAGTACTTGATACAAAATTCCTTGGAATACATGTAGACAGTACACTGTCTTGGAAAATACATATTGAACAAATTATACCTAAATTAAATGCAGCTTGCTATGTGATGAGATCAATTAACCCTTTTATGTCACAGGAAACATTGAAGATGGTTTACCATGCCTACTTTCATTCTATTATGAACTATGGATTAATATTTTGGGGGAACTCTTCACATAGTGTAATAATTTTTAAAATACAAAAGAATATAATTAGAATCATTACAGGATGTAGAAGTAGAGATTCATGTAGAGAATTATTTAAGAAATTAAAAATTCTACCTCTTCAATCGCAATACATATTATCGCTTCTCTTATTTGTTGTTTACAACAAATATAAATTCAAATTAAATTCTGATGTCTATAACATGAATACTAGACAAAAATATAACTTCCACCTACCCTCATCAACTTTATCAGTATATCAAAAAGGAGTCTACTTTACTGGCATAAAAGTGTTCAACAATCTGCCACAAAGTATTAAAAACTTGGGCAATGATACTAAAAAGTTTAAATCAGAGTTAAAGAATTATCTACATGCTCATTCCTTCTACTCTTTAGATGAATACTTCAATGTAAATAGAGAATGATGTAAAATTAAGTTATATTAATTTTTAAGCTAAAATTGCCTGTACTTATGTATGTAACCTTTTGACTTGTTCTGTATCCAAAGGTACTAACCTGCTTAGGATTTATAGAATGTAAATAAATTCAATTCAATTCAATTCACTTCTCAAGTTCACAAAAGATTGAAGGACACTGAGTAATTCTGAGCATTGAATAAAAAGAGTAGACACACACTTTGCATTCTTAGATGACAAAAGTGACTCTGGATACCCTAGTTAAATTTATCCCTGTGCTTACTTAATTAAACAACATGTCATGAAAACATGTGGTGGAATTAAGGCATAGCTCCACCATTCTTGATTTTAAAACTAGATGGAGGTGAGTGGGGAACCATGAGAAGTTCATAATATTCTAATCTGAAATTTTAAATTTTTAGTTAAAAGCCCAGAACAGGGTCCTTCACATTGCACAGCTCAAATGCACAAAATATTTCCTTCAACTAGACAAGATGGCTCCTTCTAGTACATTATCTATTAAAGCCAAAATTTAGTTCTTTTTTCTTGGAGTATGTATTTATTCTATGGCACTGGCCCCAATTCTCTCCTCTCCTTTTTCTCTCAGAATCTGCGAAAAGCTACTTCCAAATTATGTCCAACAGGAAACAGAAGAAATGCATGGTGTACAAGTATATTATTTATAATTTATGCAACCCATATAGGAGAATTTCATACCTAAGAGGTGGTGTTGGGGGGGACACGTGGTAGCATAGTTGGTTGAGGCACTATGCTACAAGTCGGAAGGTTGCAGGTTCAAGTCCCGATGAAGTCATTGGATTTTTTCAATTGACCTAATCCTTCCAGCCACACTATGGCCCTGGGGTTGACTCAGCCTCTGATAGAAATGAGTACCAGGAATATTCTTGGAATATTCTTCGGGGTAAAGGGCGGACAGCGTGTAGGGCTGACAACCTTGCTGCCATCTATGAGCCGATTGTCTAGAAAATGTTGGAACCTCAACATCTCACAACCCTATGGGCCTTCACGGCCTGTTACAGGGATACCTTTACTTTTTTTTATATTAAGAGGTGGTGGGACTGAGACTCACCAATGCTTTTCACCACAGTATATAAAAAGTGATGCAATGAACGTCTAAAATGTTTCTACTTGTATGGCATAAATCATGATTTTCCAGATTTGCAATTTGTTTACATCATAAACCAACATCAGATACTTGTTATTTTGTCCTGCTCATTTCAAAGCAAATCCTCAATAAAACTTCCTGTTTCAGCCATTGGTTTGAAAGAACTCCTTGAGATATGCCTTACATTCAGAACTATTGAAATAGCTTTATATGATCTCAAAATTCTTTAAGACACACTCTACTGATTTTCCAAATGATAACCACCTTGCTGGAACATGTCTTAACAGTAACTGATTTCAGGCCTTCACGGTGGTTAATTATTGATGTTAATTCTGTTCTTGGGTTCTTACATCCTATGGTTGTCGGCAACGTTGCCAAAGTTTCAGAAATGCGTGCTTCCTCCATCTTTAGGATATAATTATTTAGACTTGTGAGTTGCTGTGTATGTATGTCATTCTGTTTTTTAAAATGAACAGAAGTGAGGTTAGAGTGAGGACTGGTGCTTCATTCAGGCCAGTAGGGACAGTAGACCAAGAAAGCTGTGTAGATGGCCCTGGGCCCGGGAATGCATAAATAATCCCATCGTTAACAAATGCGCTCGAGCGGTCACTATCCACGTGCTCACCAGGCAAAAATGTTACTTAGCTTTTCTCTGTGGGCAGATTGGCGTCGAGGGTGGCGGAAAGATCACAGGGAGTCGGCAGTGAATTTCTGCAGGAATGGGAAGCGTGAAGAATTGTATGGGTTAGAAAGAAAATTGGCTTAGACAGGGAGGGCGGGGATCTTGCAGACTTCCTGAGTTGTTAGTCTCAGGCTACCTTTGACTGGCCTGAGAAGCTGCGTGCCTTGGAAGGTGACAGATGTGTAGTTTTCAGGCTATACCTCGTTGAATACGTTCCACACATGCAGTACAAATGCTCGCTGATAGGTTTCTGCTTATCGTGTCTCCGTAGGTAATACAATTTCCTACCACAGCTGAAGTACTCTTCAACATTACGGCACAGATGATGCACTACTGTCTTATAATCTACAGATTAGAACAAATCTTTTACAATAGCCCTGGTACTACATAAGATTCGTAAGCGATATTGAAATAATAAAAAACGACAACAATAATATTTTGTTATGCCACATTTGAAAGAATAGCGCACGAAGGAAATTCTGTTCCTCTTAGCACATGTCGTCCTCGGATTATACATTTATGGATATTTCCTATAATTTAAGATTCAGTAGTCTAGGCATCGCGCTATAAAGAAGTGTTTCTCAGATTATTGCACGCGAACCAAATCTGCGGGTTTTGCGTACGCATATTTAGCACCCAAAATACACGTTCCCTTTTCTGATTATGGATGCTGAAATCTGTATTACTCTTCGGTAGTAGAACACGTGCTTCCCGAAATAATACTATGATACTGATTCTGCCATTTAAACTGTCATTTCAAGGTTGTGCTATGATAGAAAAGGAAAATAATACGTTATTTTGGCCTGTAAGGCACTGGTCTTCCGTGCAGCAGATCTGAGGTTCGAGACTAGCTGTATATAATCCGTTTTTTTCCACACGCCAACCGCTTCTGACGCGATAGAGTCAAAACATCGCGCGCGCGCGTGTTTGTACACACCATGCCCCAAGCACGATAAGCGCCTTTCCCCTGTCATCTTCTGAGAATGTGGTGTCGTGTAGTCTGGCAGTAGTTTGCAGAAGTTCTAGGAGAACACACTGCCCCCATTTTCACGGTTGAAGAGTAAACCAAGAAAGCACTTCGCAACAAACAGATTTTGTTGCTTGGCTTACACGTCGACCGTGAAGATTGAGACATTGCATTCTTCAGAATCGTGTATAGACCTCTACCAGGTTACACATCACATCAAAGAAGACAGTAGACTTACTGTTCACAGCTATCGTCATGAGAACATCAAACCTAACCTTTATTCCATTTTTCGTAGTCGGTATATCGACTTGCTATGAGCTGGACGACCGAGGGGCCAGAGTTTGAGTTCCGATAGTGTTAAGAATTTTCTCTTCCCCACGTCGTCCAGACCGGCTCTGGGGACAAACCAACATTCTATCCAATGGGTACGGGAGGCTCTTTCCCCGGGAGTAAAGCGGCCGGGGCGTGAAGCTGACCACTCATTTCCAACTAGCGCCGAGAACAAGAAAATATGGATTTACACAGCCACTCCCCCATACTCCTTCATGGCGTAGTGCTTAATTCGTTGAGCACTGGGACAAATTTACCTTTACCTTTACCTCTGTCAGTTTCAAGTTATGTGTCAGTTCTATAGAAAACGATGTGATTGTGCACGAAATGGCGGCTGTCACATTCTGAAAAGTAGCCTGCTTATTCCTCGGCGCATACCACGAAGCTCTAGCTGTCTCGTTATTGTTTTATTTAAAGATGTTTTATGGACTTACATAGAATATTTGGCGTAGAATAAAAAAGTTTAAAGGACTCTTACTTATGGAATAATTGC